GGGTAAGCGGTCTTGTAACTGAGCAGGACCCTGTGGGGCCTTCCCGGGCAGACCTCTCCCCTGTATCCTCTGCTGCAGCTCCTCTCTGAAGCACCCAGGTAACAGGATCTCATGTATGTTTCCTGAGTGTTTCAGATGCTTAGAATCAGCACCAAAGGGAAGACATTAACTGCTTGATGATTGAAAGCATGTGGCCCCCAGACCTCCTGGCACCTAGGGGATCAGAGCATTGACCACCCTGTTCCCTCCACATTAACCAGTCAGAGAATTGTGCACAAGCTGACCACATACCTGTGACCTCCTCGCCCTTCACCTGGCCTTTAAATATGCTTTGTTGAAACCCTCTGGGGAGTTCGGGGTTTTCCTTTCTTGGTCCTGCAATAAACCTTTCTCTGCTCCAAACTTATGTTACAGTTTATTTGGCCTCATGGTGCAGCAGGCACACGAACCTGCCTTTGGTCACAATCTCTCCCTAGGAAATAAACTACCTGGATTTAAAATTTCCCAGAGATACAAATGACTTCTGGCAGATCTTGAGCAGAGCTGTCTTGGCTGGGAGAGGGACACTGTGTGTCCTCACATGGGTTGAGAAATTCCACCAAGGCAGGAAAATGAACAAAATGACCCCAAATCAGCTTTGCCCCCTCAAAGTCAGAGCCACACGACAGAACACACTCACCCCATCTCTGCCCCAAAAGGCGTCCCATCCCCAGCAGCACACCCGCCTGTCTCAGCCTGCCTCCCCTCACCTGCACTAGAGGAACCACAGGACCTGCCTTTCCGGGTCAGGGAGGGTGAGAGCCGCAGGCATCGGCCAGCCTTCCCTGATGCCACATTACCACAGAAAGGGCTGCCCTGTCTTAAAGGGAACATAAAAAGCTTAACTTCTCAATTTCTGGACAAAATAAGCCTACCATGTCTGGAAAATGCACCCCCCCATTAACTCCTAAATAACTTACGTCTTGTGCACAACTACAGGAGGAAAAAGGGAGATGACTTTCTATAGCAGCTTCGTATGAAGCAAAGAAAAAGAATCTACCCAGTTTTTCAAGAGGCGGGTCAGAAATCCCCGAGAAAAGAAACCACGATACCTTTTTTTGTAGCTCCTGGATGTTGGTCTCCCAATTTTTATCTTCCTGTGAGATCTGTCTGAAAGACAAAAGGGCAGACTCATCATTTTCCTGGTGATGTGGAGCGGTGAGGTCAGCAGGGTGGCAGTTGGCAGGGGACCCGGCCAGGGTACCATCCATCATGTGATGCAGGTGCGGCCAGGGAGCAGCGCAGGTCTTGCTGTGCAAGGTGCCTGATGGAGCTGTGTTCGTGGACTGGGAAGGATGCTCACGCTACCTTCCCAAAGGAAAAGAATACCAGAAATGACGGGAATGCTTACGGAGGAATATGTGAACTCAGCACAGGAAACTGTTGGGGGACACGTGGCAGGCCGGCATCACAGGTGGCAAGAAAATTTACCAGAAACCAAGAGACATTTAAGAACAAAGGAAAAATTTAATAGGTTCCCTGCTACTGGCAACAGCGGGCCACAAAGACAAGAGGTGACTGCGTGTCCACTGGGATGAATATGCAGGGTCTTTTATTGAGGAAGGGACTGTGAACACAGAGGGATGGGGGAACAGATGTTTGGTTGGCTGTCAGTGAGGCAGGGGGCTTGGTATATGGAGGATCATGGATTTACGACTCCAGTAAGATGGCGACGGGCTGGCATAAGCAAGACAGTGGGATGTGTGACTGACAAGGAGGAGCCGCGGGCTGAGGCAGGTCAGCCTGAGCCACAGTGAGACTAGCCGCTTCCCAGGGCTGTTCATCCTGCCGAGGCAGACACCCACCAGGAGTTCATCTCCGGAAGAGGAGCAGGCAGACGCCCAAAGGCTGGAAGTCTGGAGGGCAGGGAGGAGCCCAGGCCGCAGCAGCACCTGCTGGCACCGCAGAAATCGGCCAAAATGGGAACGGGGGGGGGGGGGGGATGACAGGAAGCCAGCTTGGTTTTCATCTCTTCACTTTCTACTTCTCTACATTTTTTTTCAAAATGAGGGCATGTTACATTTACAATTTATCTAAAGGGAAAAAACAGGAACAGGAATGCTACTTGCTCTAGTGGTGATTTTTTTTTCATTTGGAAATCAACTTCCTTCCAGCTCTGGTCATGGCGCCCGCCCATCTCAGTTTCCATTTCAGTCACATCTATTTGTTCCAACCTCCCTTTCCTTTTTAATCTTCCCTATCAGCACATCTTCTTTCTCTGCTTTATTTTCTCCGTGACCAATTAGGGAAAAGAAGCTGCATGTTGGAGAATTTAGCTTTAATGAACACTCACAAGTCGTAAGTATCAAAGGAGGTTGACCAGGCAGCCAGTGCAGACCCTACAGGAAATCACAGCGGACCCAAATGAGTGGCTCCCAGGACAACTTTTTAGAATAAAATGTAGAAACAAGACCTGCAGAGCACTTGCTTCAGATCGCCCTCAGTCCGTTCTGCTCCTCAGTGACTGAGTGGCCTTACGAAGCCACTACCCCCTGCAGGCCTCCATTTCCCTTTCTGTTATCAACACAGGATGAGCTGATGGAAACTTGGCGCATCTCCGAGCCCACAGCTTTCTCCCCATTTGTAACCGTGAGATACACTGACGACATCCATGCCAGACAGAGCTCCCCGAAACTCGGAAGTCAGTAGAGTAAATACATTCGTTGCAATTTCCTCCTGCATCTTCGAGTTACAAAGCTTTTCTCTTTGGGACCTATTCCTGTTGTTGAAGGTGGTCACTCTGTCCCCAGCCTGCAACTCAGGGCCTTCCTGTAGCCTGAGGATAACAGGTCCTGCTTCTCCAGCGTCACAGGGTAGAGGCAGGGCCTGGGCTGGGATGGAGCCGAGGATGCGAGGCAGGGCTTTGTCCTGGGCTGTGAGTCTGGACAGAGCGAGTCCCACACACTCGCCTGCGGCCTTCTCTCCCCACGATCAGAGCAGACTGCAGCCTCACTGGACGACCCTCGGGGTTGGTGCCGGTTCTGTGCCCAACTCCCATCCTCAGTCTGTTTGCTGGCTCTCTGGGAACACAGGGTTGGTTTCAGCAAACTGCAACAGCTCTTGCTTTTCCTGTTAGCGCTTCCAGACTGAGGACAGGTTGGAACTCAGCACCTCATCCAAGGAAGGATGGACGTCTTATTGCTAACGTTTACATCTCAATTTTGATTAAAAACAAATGCCTAGAAATGAATTGAATAGGACTTAGGTATTCTTTAGTAACTGAGCAGGACCCTGGGGGGCCTTCCAGGGACAGACCCCTCCCCCATGTCCTCTGCTGCAGCTCCTCCCTGATAACAGTATCTCCTGTATGTTTCCTGAGTGTTTCAGATGCTAAAAACCACCACCAAAGGGAAGCAATTAACTACTTGCTAATGGAGAGAATGTGGCCCCCAGACCTCCTGGTGCCGA